CAGTATTACCCTAATACCAAACCAGACAAAGTTATTACAAGAAAAGAAAACTACAGAACAATATCTTTCATGAACATAGATGCCAAAATCCTCAAAAAAATTAGCAAATCAAACCCAATAATGTATAAAAAGAATTATACACCATGATGAAGTGGGATTTACTGCAGGTATGCAAGGCTGGTTCAACATTTGAAAATCAATTAACGTAATCCATCATATCAACAGGCTAAAGAACAAAAATTACAAGATCATATCATCAGATGCAGAAAAAACAACTGACAAAATCTAACACTAATTCATGATTTAAAAAAAACTATCAGTAAACTATGATTAGAGGGGAACTTCCTCAACTTGATAAAGAATATCTATGAAAAAACCTACAGCTAAAATCATACTTAATGGTGAGATACTTGAAGCTTTCCCACTAAAATCAGAAACAAGGCAAGGATGTCCCATCTCACCACTCCTTTTCGGTATCATATTAGAAGTCCTAGCTAATACAATAAGACAAAGTAAGAAATAAAAGGTATACAGATGGGGAAGTAAGAAATAAAATATTTTGTTCACAGATGACATGATCGTCTATGTAGAAAATCCAAATAAATCAACAAAAATACTCCTGGAACTAAGAATCTATTATAGCAAGGTTGCAGGATGCAAGGATAATATACAAAAGTCAATCACTTCCCTATATACCAGCAATGAACAACCGAAATTTCAAATTAAAAACACAACACCATTTACCTTAGCACCTTCATAAAAATGAATACTTAAGTATAAATATAACTAAATATGTAGAAGATCTATATAAGGAAAACAACAAAATTCTGATGAAAGATATCAAAGAAGAACCAAATAAATGGAGAAACAGTCCATGTCCATGGATAGGAAGGCTCAATACTGACAAGATGTCAGCTCAATTTGATCTATAGATTCAACACAATACCAATCAATCCCAGCAGATTACTTTGTGGATATTGACAAACTGATTCCTAAGTTTATATAGAGAAGACTCAAAATAGCCAACACAATATCAAAGGAGAACAAAGTTGGAGGACTTATACTATCCAACTTGAAGACTTATGATAAAAGTTACAGTAATCAAAACAATGTGGAATTGGCAAAAGAAGAGACAAATCAATGAAACAGAATAGAGAGCCCAGAAATAGACCTACATAAATGTAGTCAACTGATCTTTGACAAGGGAGGAAAGGCATTACAATGGAGCAAATATAGTCTTTTCAACATACGGTGCTTGGACAAATGAGTATCTACATGTAAAAAAATAAATCTAGACTCAGATCTTACACCTTTCACAAAAATTAACTCAAAATGGATCACAGATTTAAACATAAATAACAAAACTATAAAACTCCTCAAATATAACAGGAAAAAAATCTAAATGACCTTAGGTTGGGCAATGACATTTTAGATACAACACGAAAGGCACAATTCATGAAAGAGAAAGTAGATAAGTTGGACTTCATTAAAATTAAAATTTCTGATCTGCAAGAGACAACGTCAAGAGAATGAAAAGATAAACCAAAGACTGAGAGAAAATATTTGCAAAAGACATAACTGATAATGGACTATTATCTAAAATATACAAAGAACTCTTAAAACACAATAATAAGAAAACAAACTACCCAATTAAAAAATGGGCCAAAGACTTGAACAGACACCTCACCAAAGAAGATAAACAGATGGCAAATAAGCATATGAAAAGAGGCTCCAAATCATATGTCATCAGGGAAATGCAAAATAAACAGTGAGATACCACTACATACCTATTAGAAAGGTAAAATCCAGAACACTGACAATACCAAATGATAGCCAGGATACAGAGCATCAGGAACTCTCATTCATTGTTGGTGGGAATGCAAAATGGTACAGCCACTTTGGAAGACAGTTTGGCTATTTCTTACAAAACTAAATATACTCCTACCACACAATCAAGCTATCATGTTCCTTGGTATTTACTCAAATGAAATGAAAACTTACATCCACACAAAGAACTGTGCATGGCTATTTATAGCAGCTTTATTCATAATTGCCAAAACTTGGAAGCAACCAAGATGTCCTTCAGTAGGTGAATGGATAAATAAACTGTGTTACATCCAGACAATGGAATATTATTCAGTGCTAAAAAGAAATGAGCTATCAAGCCATGAAAAGACATGGAGGAATCTTAAATGCATATTACTAAGTGAAAGAAGCCAATCTGAAAAGGCTACATACTACTCGTATTATTCCAACTATATGACATTCTGGTAAAGACAAAACTATGGAGACAGTAAAAAGATCAATGGTTTCCAGGGGTTTGGGGAGAAGGAGGGATGAATAAGCAGAGCATACAGTATTTTTAGGAAAACTATTATGTATCATACTATAATGGTAGACATATCCTATTACACATTTGTTCAAACCCATAGAATATACACCACCAAGTGTGAACTCTAATGCAAACTATGGACTTTGGTGTCAATGTAGGTTCATCAGTTGTAAAAAATGTACCACTCTGGTGGGGGATGCTGATAGTGAGGAAGGTTGAGTATGTATGGAGGCAGGAAGGATATAGGAAATCTTTGTACCTTCCACTCAATTTTGCTGAAGTTAAAATTTCTCTAAAAAGTAAAGTGTATAAAAAGATGAAAGACAACATTCCAAAATTTGTGAACCAGAGATAAGGCAGTGTTGAGAGGGAAATGAATAGCAGTAAAATCAATACACTAGAAAAGAAGGAAAAAATCAATAATCTAAATTCCCACCTAGGAACTTAGAAAAAGAAGAGCAAAATAAACTCAAAGCAGGAAAAATAATAATAAAGGAAACAGTAAGGAGCAGAAATAAGTGAAATTGAAAACAGAAAAACAATAGAGAAAGTCAATGAAAAGAAAGAGCTGGTTCTTTGAAAAGGTCAATACAATTGATAAACCTCTAGCAAGACTGACAAGGAAAAAAAGAAAAGATACAAACTACCTGTATCAGGAATAACACCGGGAATATCACTGCAGAGTCTGCATATGCCAAAAGCATAATAAAGGAATACTATGAACAACTCTACACACAAATTTGACAATTTAGATGAAATGGACCTTGAAAAACACAAATTATCACATTTCACCCAATATAAAACAGATCATTTGAATAGCTCTATAACTATTAAGGAAAGTGAATTCAAATGCAAAAATTCTCCAAACAGAACTCTCCACGCTCAAGTGTTTTCACTGGAGAATTCTACCAAATGTTTAAAAAAGAAGAATGAAAAGACAAGCCATAGACTGGGATAAAAATATTTGCAAACCACATATCTGACAAAATAGCAGTATCTAGAATATATAAAGAACACCCTAAGATTCAACATTAAAAAAATAAACAATCCAATTAATAAATGAGCAACAAACAGGAAGACACATTTCACTGAAGAGGGTATACAGCATGTATCACTAAGGATTACTCTATAAAATATATAAATCACACCAAGAAATCAATAAGAAAACAACCACCAAATAGGTGACAAAGATTTTACAGGTTATTGATAGAAGAACAAATCCAAATGTCTATTAAACATGAAAACATTCTTAACTACACAAATAATAAGAGAAGTATTAATTAAAATAAATAGCAAATCAGAGCCATTAGAAGAGTAAAAATCAGAAATTTTGATAATTTGAAATCTAATAAGGATACGAAAAAAAGTGAATTCTCCTACACAGCAGTATGAATTGCTACATGCGCTTCAGAGAGCACTTTAGCAAATATGTGATAAAGTTGACTAAACACACCATCTACAACACAGTAACTCTACTTTTAGAATACATCCTAGAGAAAATTTTGCACCTAAACAGTTATAAAACACATACAAGAATATACATTTTAGAACTGTTTATAATTTAAAAACTGGAAATAACTTAATATCCATGAATAGGGAAATGTACAAATAATTTTGGAATTCATAAAATGGTTAAAATTAAAGAAAGAAAATATATATATACATACACAGGGTTTAAAAATATAATATTGAGGAAAAAGCTGTAGAGTGATATAGTCAACATGAGAGTATTTATGTGGATTTACAAAAACACATAAAACAAACCTTGGAAACAAGGACCGGATGGACACACACATCAAATTCATGATAATGATACTTGTGCGAAGGGGAAAGAAGCAAACTGGGCCAGGAAGCAGAACAAAGATGACTTTAATTGTATTTATAATGCTTTAATTATTTTAAAATATCTGAAGCAAAAAGAGGAGCATTTCCTTATTCTAGGTGGTTGATCACGCATATTTGCACATTATTCTCTAAGTTTCTGTAATTTTAAACATTTCAAAATCAAAATAATAATTTTTAAAAGCTATAAAATATGAAGAAAGGACTAAAAAGCAATAATTTTTAACTAATCTGCTGGATTCTGAGATAACTCAAAAGTAGTACTTTACCATGATGTTAAATTAGCATTTATCTGAAGAGTTCACAAACTGAATTTACTAATTTTTTTGTTGTTTTTCCAATTTCTAGAACTTGCAGACTACCACAAAATCCATACTTTGTTAGGCTAAGCACTGGAAGATATTCATAGATTTCTGGCTATGTGACTAAGTAAACCTTGTTTTACTAATGTAACTCCATGGTCACTGTACTGCTAATCACTTTCACTGTCCCTTCACGTGATCAGTATGCCCATCCACACGGTCTCCAAAGCCAACAGATCATCCCCATTTAGAACTCTTCTTGACTCCTTCCCACGTCTTGTCTATTACGCTGGTCATTACTTCAACAATAAGGTTCTAGTCTTTGAGTTCATAAGGTGAACATAGATTCTGGGGTCTTTAAATTTAGGAGAGGAACTTTTGATACTCTGCTCAACTATAAGGACACATACAATCAATAAACCTTAAAGGTCCCCTCCTTTTTATAACATCATTGTGCTTACTTACTATTTTTATCTGATAAAAAAGAATCACTCTACAAATATTTGTCACAAAATTTTACTCACCTCTGGATAAAGATGGAAGCGTTTCACTGTATTAATTACTAGAGGATATTCAGTGAGCCTGTCATTCATAATCATCCACAATCCTTCCAAAAATGAAGGTGCTTCAATAATGGTCTTAAAGTAGGAATAATAAAGTCCCTTTAAAAAAGGCACAAATTGTCAATGTAAGTAAAATTTGAAAATATTTATTTTTATAACTCCTTTTAGAACAATTTCTTGTGAAAAAACGAAAAGGTCAATAATAAGACTTTCTAATTTCTCCTTGCTACTGCATTCTTGGACTCAAAGAAGCACACGTTTTCAGGTTATCACTGTTCTTTCATATTTTCTGTAGGTTTGAAAAAGAGCTGAAGGGACGGTTAAATGTATTAAGGAGCTTTTCTAACCATGTCTTAAAATGTGTATACAATATATTTTTAATTCTACCAAGCCTGATTTTTACCTCTACATTATGAGATGCCTAGAGGTTGAGATCTGATGAATTTTGGCATAAACAGAGATGCCTTCACGTCCTTGTACAACTTTGCATATAGAAAAGTATCTTTTTTTTCCAGCTCTTAAGAAATAACATATAATGATCATCAGCATCATTAGAAGGAACTTCACACTTGCAACTTACTTCCTAGCCCCATCTAACAGCTCTGCACAAAGTGAAAGCTAACTAAATGTCAACTGACTACCGTTGTTCATGACACGAATGCTGTGTCCTGAAAAGGGGATTACCCTACGTGTTATTCCAGCAAATGAAATAATGACTTTATTAGGCTAATAAAGGTTGCTGTTTAGTTAATATTCAAAGATTAACAAAAGCATGTTGTTCATATTACTTCCCTCATCAATTTCTTGCTTTCCTTCCTGAAGTCTAAAAGCAAATAAAGGACCACATTGTTTGTAATACACTCTCCCCCCAAAAATTAAAAATAATCTTCAATGCTACACTCACTCCTGTCTCATACAAATCCTTTATTTTCGATCAATTCAACAACACTAGTGGCTACTAAACTGAAGATCTGTTTTAGCTGATGTCCGAAAGAGCATTTCTTCATAGTTTTGATTGGTGAAATATGGGTTCATATAAGGATTTTTCCTTTCTGCTTATGAGGGCAACAAGACAATGCTACGATGAAAGGATATCTAACACGCATAAGTCTACACTTGGAGAAATAGAAAATATATAAGTAAGTTTTATTAATAACAGCTATTGTTTTGTGCCAGGTACTGTGCTATGTGCTTTGTTCATTATCTCCTTCATTTTCAATAAAACCCTGTAAGGCTGGCATTGTTTCTAGCTAACAGATGAGATTACTGAGAATTAGAGAGGTTAACTGACCACAGCCCACAGCCGTCACACAAGGAAGCACAGAACTGCTCCCTGAATCCAGTGATCTGTCACTAAAGCCCAGACTCCACCACAGCTACACTCTGTATTTAAAATATTTTATATCCTCTCTTTGGAAATAATAACTATAAAATATTAAAAATTCCAATGTCATACAAATGCTAACGTATCCAATTCTTTAAAGCTTTAAGGGGGCTATAGGGTGAGATTTAAAAAGCAGTGGCTGGGGGCCGGCCCCGTGGCTCGGCGGTTAAGTGCGCACGCTCCGCTACTGGCGGCCCAGGTTCGGATCCCGGGTGTTCACCGACGCACCGCTTCTCTGGCCATCCTGAGGCCGCGTCCCACATACAGCAACTAGAAAGATGTGCAGCTATGACAGACAACTATCTACTGGGGCTTTGGGGGAAAAAAAAGGGAGGAGGATTGGTAACAGATGTTAGCTCAGAGCTGGTCTTCCTCAGCAAAAAGAGGAGGATTAGCAGGGATGTTAGCTCAGGGCTCATCTTTCTCACATACAAAAAAATAGCAGTGGCTGAAGTACCTAGAATTGGCACATTTATAGACTGAAAGTAGAACAGAGGTTACCAAGGGCTGGGGGAGGGGGAAGGAGGGAGTTAGTGTTTAATGGATACAGTTTCTGTTTGGGGTAATAAAAAAGTTCTAGAGATAAATGGTGGTAACAGTTGCACAATAATAGGAGTGTATTTAATGTCACAGAACTGTACACTTAAAAATAGTTAAAATGGTAAGTTCTGCTATTTTTAAATTTTTTAAATTTAAATTTAAATTTTACTTTAGCCACAAATAAAAACAAACAAACAAAAGTAGTGGCTAGAAGAGCCACTAGTGGCTAGAGTAGAGTCAGAAGAGCAGCGGAGCCAGTTTCAGTTCTTCATTTGGCTCCTAACTAGCTGATCTGGAGGATGGTCCTGGTCTCGCTTAACTGTAAAATTCCGCAATTCTGGCATTCATTATCACATTTAATCCTCACAATAATTATGTGAAATATGTATGGCAGATGGCATTATCTCCTTTTTATAGACTAGGTGTCAAAACAGAAAAATTATTAAAGAAAATGTATCAAAAGTTGTCTCCTAAAAGAGATTATCTTGTGAGCCAGCCCCAGTGGCCTAGTGGTTAAGTGCAGTGCACTCTGCTTTGGCGGCCTAGGTTTGGTTCCCAGGCGCGGACCTACACCACTTGTCTGTCAGTGGCCATGCTATGGTGGCCACTCAAACACAAAAAGAGGAAGACTGGCAGTGATGTTAGCTCAGGGCAAATCTTCCTCAGCAAAAAAAAAAAAAAAAGAGAGAGAGAGATTATCTTGAAATCAAGAGAGCTAAAAAAAAAAAAAAAAAAAAATTAAAACAGCCAGGTAAAACATGGGATCTCCCACCTCTAGCCCAAGAGAAAGCAATTTCTGGTAACATTTGATTCTCCTATATCACTTCCTAAATGTTGTCTTTGTTCTCCTTCTTCCTCAGCTATTATAATTGATCTTTAGTACCTTAAAAAGAAGTTTGCAGTAGGAAAGGAGGAGAGATAGTGAGAGAACTTGAAAAAGAATCTTAAAACACTTTTCTATTTGAATTATAAACTTAGGCTATAGCTTGAGAAATAGCACAGTTCACCAAAAATTCATTTCAGTTCTAATAAGTTTCACCTTATAATCTTATTATTCTTAAACTACAAATGAATTCATTAGAAGAAAGAATCTAACCATTTCAGTGCGAAAAGTCATTTCCCGTTCCAAAGATGAGAGGTGAGAAAAATGACGCTCATTTTCAAAAAGTGTTACTAAGTGTATCCTAGAAAAAAATGAAGCACCATATTATAAGAACGTGTTTCAAAACCAGTACTAAAATAACTAAGTTATAAAGTACAAAAATCATAAAAAGGAAAAGGAAAAAGAATTTTTATAATAAATATTGAAATAATTTTATAACTTGCTTACTAATATATTTTTAGACATTTATAATCTAATGTAGCACATAGCTGAAATTCCTTAACTCCTTGGTTCTTAATCTTAATTGTATATCTAAAACTCCTGTGGACCTCTCCACCCCTCCTCCCACTCCAGGCCTCTAAATCAGAACAGAGGCAAGTTTTTGTTTGTTAAGTTTCACAAGTGATTCTAATGTACCAGGTTTGGGAACTGCCTCTCTAACTGCTGAAAAGCATTTGGAATTTTAAACAAAATTATCTTATATTAAAGCAATTTTTAAATAAGTATAATACCATATAAGGGAATCAACTTTCAAGTGCCAAAGAACACAGGACTGTACTTCAAAATATTTTATTAGTGAAACTTAAAAAACAGCTGTAGGCAGTTAAAATAGGAGGATATGTGGTAAGTAAAATTAGTCAGTCATGCTATCCTTAATTTACATAGCAGATGCTTTCCAATGAAGTAGAAAATAAAGCAAAATTCCATACATCAGCCCTATCTTCCACTCACTTTCATTTACATGTGGGACATATGCCAGGGTACCCATACCTGTAGGAAATGTTTCTTATCATTACAGCCTTAGTTCTAACTAAAATCTCCCTGCAGACTAAACGGCCAGAACAGCACTGTCCCAACAGGACATGGGCAGATCCCATTCTTCCCAGAGGTAGAAAACCCTGAGCTCAGGTAGAAATGAAAATATGTCAGAGAAAAAATATTATTATTTTACATATAATTTTTACAAATAGATCACTTATAATATAAGGTGCATGTGCATGCACACTGAAAGGCTCATTTAATTCTGTATTACCATTGCAGTCTTTATCTTCATTTCTACCTGATTTCCTATTGACAGGTGCTACTAAAACTTTATCTCTAAGCTTATGTGACTAACAACACACAATTACTGTAAAATAAGAGAGTTTTTTTTTTTACAGGAAATAAACATGCAAAGTACACTAGAAAAGCTAGATATTTAAAAAATATAGTAGTGACTCCTTTGGTAAAGCAAAAATAGTTTAATTCATAAGTTACTATTCCCCTAATGCATAATTTTGTAAATGCTGCTTCACATATGACGTTTTTAAACAATATATATGTGTAAACTGGTGTACATATAGATGTTCTATACACATAGCAAGAGGTTATTGTTTTATTGTATGCAAACAGTGATGGCAATTTTTAGTCCAAATGTTTTTATTTATTTCAAACTGAAACTAATCTTACCAGTGCAAAATTCCCACAAATGCAGCTGGAAAAAACAAAAAGGAAAAAAGTCATTAAAAGCTGCTTAATCACAGTATACCTTTAAAACAAGTATTTCAAACGTGTTACCTTATATGTCTAGAGAGAGAACACACACAAACAAGATGGCTAGCTAATCCTGTCTACATAAGCACAGGAAAAATTTCATAAGGACATAAATTGTGACTAGTACTTACCTCTGTCAGGGGGATTTGAGGAGCAAAGGGAGAGACTTACACAGTTTTAGAACATCAATAATTTCATCACTCTTGCAACATGCCACAGAACTGTTCACTTTAAAATGGTTCATTTTACGTTATGTGCATTTCACCTCATTAAAAAATTTTTTTTCTTAAAGAAAAGAAGAATCAATCAGTGCAGAATGAAGTTCAAATGCCTTAACCCTAATCTTGAATTAGACTCTCCATGGCTGTTCCCAACCAACCTTTTGAACTTCCGTGGAAATTAATTCAAGAAACCTTAACTAAATCAGAGTAGGGAAGGCCTGTAGGGGGAGCTCTCAAGCCCTAACACACATCAACAATTATATCAAATAGGAAGAGACAGACAGACGCTGCACCCTCCACAGGAAGTAAAACTACTTTACTACTGATGAACTGTTACTTTCCCCCACTGGACTTTCATTTAGAACAGCCCCTTCCTACTCCCCATTTTTCTCTATAAAAGCAAGCTCCCCTCCTTTGTTTTCCCCATTTGCCTAAGGTTCACCACAGCATGCACATCCCAAACTGCAATTCTTTTGGCTATTCTCGAATAAAGTTGTTTTGAGGATAAAATAACAGGCAAATTTCCTTTTTGACATATATGGTGTCAGGAAAGTGGGATCCAAAGGAGGAAACTCCTGAGAGTGACCCCCAGAATCAAGCAAGTTACCCACACGGAACCCCTTGTGCTCACTGCTTCTGTGAGTTGCCACCTGATTTTTTTTTGGTGAGTCTCCTCTCAGATTCCAAGCTCTGCTCTCCTTGAGTTTTGAGCTCTCAGACTTTATTCGGGATGGGGGAAGTCTTTGTCTTCTCAGGGGAGGAGCTTTGTCCTCCGGTTCAAGGTGTCATCCTTGGTGAGTACTCAGTTGTTTTCTGAAGGTAGCACAGTTCCTTTTGGGGCTCAGGCTTGCTAAAAATCCAGGAGTTTTTCTTTCGTTTTGAGATTCCTTTTGGAATCAGGGATGGGAATTCGGCAACTTGTGTGTTTAGATTTCTTTGGGAATCAGGGCTACTCTAGCAACTTTCTTGGGTTTTCAGAGGAAATTTTAGAAATGAGATCCTTGTCATCTAAATGTTCTGAGGGGAACCCTCCTTCAGAGACCCCCCCGGGGCTGTGTTTATGTTTGAGAATTTTGGGCCCCCTATATGCACATTTTAAACTAAGTGGGCCAAGCAGACCAAAAGCAGTCTGGAATTACAATGGCCATTATGGGGAACTTTCAATTTCCCCAAATTAGCTTTTCTTAAAACCAAATTGGAAGACCATGCTCTAAAATTAAGCCAAATAAATGGTTATGTCTATTTTCATTGGTACCTGGAGGCTTCTGAATATGCACAAAGCTCTAAAACTGCCTCTCTACAAGATACCTTGTCTAAATTAGCCAAAACCACTAAAAAACTGAGGGAGACTAACTGGGTTCTGAAGCATCATGTTCCCCTCCCCCTTCTTCTTTGTCTCAGGCACCAACTTCTTTGTCCTCCCAGACTCCTTTGTCTCAGACTCCGCCCCACCAGCCATCTTGTGCCCAGGCTCAGCCCCTGGCACCATCTTCTTCTCTCCTCCTCTGTGAAAATCTGCCCCTTTAAAATCAGACCCTCTGAGGATTCAAATGCTAAACCCCTAATTACTATTTCTAAGTTACCTGGAGCAAATAAACAACTGGGAAGAAAATTTTAAATAGCAATTACCCTAGACTTTTGATAATAGACAAAATGACTCCAAAAACTGTGCTAAAAAGATCCTTACAGCATGCAAATAAACATCTTTAGTAAAAGACTCTGGCCAACTGAATAAGTAACCTTAGCTTACTTTGTCTGCCAGAAACACAATTTGGATCCAACTATTCTTTTGAGTTTTAAATTACTGTATCTGAGACATGGCTAAAGTTTTAAAATGAAAGCTATGAGAGCTCTGTTTATGTCTATCTTTATGTCCACGTATGTATGTTAGAGATGTGATATTTTTCTACCTCTGAATGGTATTGCTAGAATTGACTTGTAAAAAGCTCTATTTAATTGTCTTGAAGTTAAGCACTTATAAATTAAGTATTCCTAAATCTCAGAAATATAGTAGAAACTAACTTAAATGCTTTTCAGGTTCACGTGATCTAGGACTAACCTTTAGTAAATAAAAGCTAGCTTAAGGTTGTTGGTGTAAATAGAAAATAGGCATGTCTTCAGAGTTGTTAGTATGGGGTGTAATGCAAATGTGCAACTTTTTCTCCACTTGGGTCAAATAGGCTCATGTTATCTGTTACAAAATTTGTCAGCAAGAAAGTAACTTAAGATGATGGCTGGCTATTTAATGTCTAATCCAAGCATGATTGTTAAAAGCAAGTAGTTAAAATAAATGTAAATAAGATCAAAGTTTATGCCAACTTAAACTAAATAATGGGTAGTCACTGAGTACCTAAATCATTTTTCAAACAAGATAAAATACTAAAACATTAATTACTGAACACAGGTTTATCTACTTTTGGTTTCCTATTGCAAAGAAACTAAAGATAAATTTGGGTCTGTAACCATGTCTTGTGCCACACTGAAAGACTGCACTGTTCAAAAGGGCATATACTCTGAAATTATGAAATGTATTTATAAATCTGCCAGTTCACAATTGCTTACTTCTTAGTTTTCACTAGGAATTTGGGATTCTGAGGGTTAAGAATTCTAATATACATAACTAAAGCTACTAGAAACAAAAGGGGAAACATCTCTGTACACAAGGAAAGATGTGTGTTTCAGTAAAAGAAGGTATGAGGAACGAAAATGCATTCCATTGAGGGAAAAGAAAGTAATTTTGTCCTAAAGAGAAGCTGGTTATTTCAGAATGGAAAAGGAGAAAACACAGGACAAAATCTGAATGTAAAAAGGAAGCTGTAGAAGGTTTATGGAAAGAAATTTTGGGAAAAGAGTTTTATGAGCGGTCAGGACTGGCTAAGATTGGAATGAATGAATTTTGATATCAAGATAAGCTGATGCAAAATTAAAATTTGGCTTTCTTTTCTGTTGAAAGTACAAGGTTTCTTGGGCTACTGGTCTACTGGTGAAACAAACTGTGCCTAGCAATATGCCTAGAAAACAGAGATTTTGGGCTTTGTCAAAATAATTTCCTGTGTTGTTTCTATTAGGTCTTTAATTACTTAAGAGAGCCAAGTCTTCTTAGTATTAAAGGAGTTAAGTTTTGCTGACAGCTTTGTAACGTTTTCTATTTGCCTTTGAAACCTGTTATTGTTACTTTGGTCAAATACTTAAGTATTATTTCATAATGACCTGTGATCCTATTTAGTTAAGTGTTTAAACCTTTTGATATTTTTGATAAGCTTCTCAAAATATTCAAATTCTGAATGACATTTTTTTGACCTGGATATAATGTTGGAATTTTCCAGAGGGCACTTAGGACATCTCAAAAGATTTATTCCCTCTCCTTATACAAAAAGAGATATTACACTTATCAGGCTTATTAGGTATATCAAGTTACACAAGAAGCATGGTCAAATAAGTGACGATAAACTTTTTTTTATGTTATATTGTATGGGTGAATGTTATATTCAAGAAAGATGTACACAGACTCAGATATGACCAGATAGCTTTAAGGAACTGCTTGGAAAAATCAGCCTACTACCTTGCTTACAAGGTTTCAGCAAAGCAATCTTAAAAAAGAGCTTATATGGTCAATCAATATTCTTGCTGCATTTATATAAATAATCAGGCCAAATTTAATACAAATTAGTTTTACTATGATTATCTTTAATAAAAATGGCGGTAACTGTGGAGAAAGAAATTATGTTTGCACTTTTGTAGATTTTAAATTCTAGTCCTATTAATCGTCTTTAAGGATTTCTTGTATCTATAAGCTGGACTGGATCCTAAATTCTGCTACTTTCCTTAAATGTCTGGATATGATACTCCAAACTGACATTTCCAATTTTACTGCCCTTGAAATCTCCTTGCAAGGGACTATACGAGGCCCTACTCACCACCCAGATGACAGCCAAACTTCAGGGACTTGAGCCTTGGGTACACATCTCACAGCTAAAGAAGGCTCCATATGACATCTAGTCCTGTACAAACACTGGACACCTCCAAACCAAACTGACTAGGAAGAGAAGCAGCTGACATTTGAGGCAGACAGATTTCCTAACATGGCTGGACCAGGCCTGTATGCCCTCACCCCACTGCTGTTTCTTACTTTATTTTCTCCCTCTCTTTCCTGGAAGGATAATGCCCTTGTTCGCATTTACCAATCACTTGAGAAGGGGAGAAAACCTCTCTGATTGCTGGATTTGCCAACAGAAACCTCAGTCTGTCCAAGACAGTCCCCTTAGTTCACCCTATAAGTAATTTCACTGGGATTTCAGATGCTGTTTGTCTAAATTGCTCCGCTGGCCCATTTTACCAACTCAGGGTGCTAAGCCCACCTAAACTCCTTCCTTGCTTTAATTTAACCTGGCCTTGGGAAGGGAAAACAAGATTATTTGAATATTTGTGTGAAAAATTCTGTGAGGCTGTCAATGTAACCCAGGCCATCTATAAATTTCTTGATATACCCAAATATTCAGGCAACCTCTCGGTATGTAACAACATACTGAGTCTCCAAGTCTTGGTTATATAATGCTAATGCCTCTGTGCCGATGAATGAATCTATAGATGATATCACTTCTGCGAGGTCCTTATGGGCACCCCCTCATTAAGGCTTCATCTGTGAGGTTTCAGAAATGGCCTTTATGCTTTGGCAACTCATTGCCTTAACAGCTGGAGAATATAAGGACAATGTGCCTTTACTGTATTCACTGTTCCATTTTCTCTACATAACCAAACAGAGGCCTCTTACTGGTGTGTTCCATTAAACCACTATAACTGCTTTAAACAAGCACTTCCAGGAGGCATGCATGACTCTGGGTTTGCCTCCATGGGAAGAGCTTTCTTTCCATGGGTTGGAGTGAGTGCCAACAAACCATCAGGAAGCTCTCCCTGACACTAGAAGAGTTGGCTGACTCCACAGCCAATGCAATTTCAGCTCAGCAATAGGTACTTAACTCATCGGCCAAGGTGGTTTTGGATACTGTACAGCCCTTGATTATCAATTTGCTGAGCAAGGAGGTATCTGTGCAGTGGTGAACACCTCCTGTTGCACGTGGATAAACACTTCTGGGGAAATAAAAACCCAATTACATAAGATTAGAAAACAAGCACATTGGCCACAACAAATTTCACCTAACAATCCACTCTTTTTTTTTTTTTTTTGTGAGGAAGATCAGCCCTGAGCTAACATCCATGCCAATCCTCCTCTTTTTGCTGAGGAAGACCAGCCCTGAGCTAACATCTATTGCCAATCCTCCTTTTTTTCTTCCCCCAATTTCTCCCCAAAGCCCCAGCAGATAGTTGCATGTCATAGTTGCACATTCTTTTAGTTGCTGTATGTGGGATGCGGCCTCAGCACGGCTGGAGAAACAGTGCATCGGTGCGCGCCTAGGATCCGAACCCAGGCCGCCGGTAGCGGAGCGCGCGCACTGAACTGCTAAGCCACGGGACCAGCCCCTCCACTGTCTTTTGATTTGTTCAGCTGGTTACCTTCAGGTCTGGGCTCCTGGTTTAGAACCATCCTGCAAACTAGGCTTGTTGTATTGTTCTTAATCCTGCTTTGTGTACTTGTTTAAACTGTGTACCTATTGCCTATTGAACCTTTGTAAAGCGATGTTAGCTCAAAAATTTGAAATGATTTCTGATGCTTACAACCTCAGACAAATACAGACTTTGACTATGAAATGCTCGAGAGTTCTCCTTCCTAACCTTCCTTGTAATTCAAATGTGGCCTAAATGGTTTCTAACCACTATGTCCTTTCCCACCCATGTGCAACACAACAAACAGGAAAGGTTCTTCCTGGCACCAAGGAACAAGACCACTACATGCCGAGAATCTGACTGTTAATCAGCAATGATTTCAGAGAACAATCTTGATCAAAATGGGAAAGTGTGGAAATTAATAAAAGAAACCTTAACTGAACTGGAGTTGGGAAGGCCTGTAGGGGGAAGTCGCACACCCTGTACGCAACCCATCACACACCACCAATTACACCAAACACAAAGAGACACTGCCTCTCTGACAGGAAGTACAACTACTTCACTACTGAAGGAAGACTTCTCTCCCTACCAGGCAACAGCTCAGCCAATGAGAAGCCACTGCCACCCTGAACTGCTACTTTCCCCCCAGAGACTTTCATTTAGAACAGCCCCTCCCTATACCCCCTTTGTCTCTATAAAAGCAAGCTCCCCTCCTTCATTTTCCCGATTTGCCTACAGTTTACCATAGCACGCACATCCTGAATTACAATTCTTTTGGCTATTCCCGTATAAACTCATTTTGAAGATAAAATAGGCGAATTTGCTTTTTAAGGTGACACTTCCTACTTCCTCTTCACTTCCTACTTCCTCTTCTTTTTGTACCCTTCCTTTTAGCCTCACTTCACTTTCATAGACTTTGATTATGCTGGTCTCCTCTAATACTTGTTCTCTGCTTCACACATCCAAACACTAGCCTTTTTGTCACAATTCAAATCCCGTTTTTTCCTAAGTCTTCCCCGATCTTTTTTCCCACTTCCCATCCTAAAGTATTAGTTTGCTCAGCTGAACTCTCACTTAATATACTCAGTCATTATTTCACCCAACATTCATCAAGTGCCTTCCATGTGCCGGACATGGGTGCCCTGGAACAGCAAAACAGCTTGGTATCCAAGACCATGCTGATTCCTGATGTGGAATATATCTGTTGCCATAACTAGACATCTAATAAAATCTAAATATGAAATCCCATCTATTATTCCTCAAGTATTTTTAACACCCCAAATGTGGAGACTCATTCTACTTTAACATCAGCAGTCAACTTACGGTGGAAAAGAAATCACAACTTACATTGAGACATTATCTATGTTTCAATTTATATCAGTAGCCAGTCTGACCAAGGACTAGGTTCAAAACTGATTTTATTGAAACAGCAACAACATTTAAGTTACCACTTAAACTGCAGAAAATGAGAAATGTAAATAAAGAAAAATCTTTCAACAGCTTAAATAACAATTCTCCAAATTTAGGCATTGAAGCTCCACAAGAACATGAAAGTAAATGGGTACCAACATGGGGCAATATATTGTCTAATTTGACCCTATTTCCACTATTAAAGATTCTCAACTAATTAAAAAAACCAACACTTTATTTTGCTTTATTTAAGGTGCAGAGGAACATAATGTCTGCCCCCCAAGAAACAGCCTATCATTTTTACAACCTGTGATAAATGGCTGCCCTGATTAAGATGACATTTTGTTGGTGACACAGGAATGATCACTGTGCCCGAAAATACTATGCCCGAAAACCCTGGAAAGTGTTTTAAAACAAGAACTAAGGGGGCTGGAAATTCTTGTCAGCAATTTCTCAGAGCTTGGACCTTGTCATTATTGCTACTAGGCTTGCTTGTTCAACTGGTCTTTTTCAAGACTCACCAACACCACTTCAAACTCGAGACTCAGAGTGCCGGAGGGTCCTTCGGAAGCGGAACCGAGCCTAGCCCCGCGGGGCCCCGGAGGGAGGGCATCCAGCCTTGAGCCGTCGGGGCTCCTGCAGAGAGCTCTCCCCGCCCTGTCTTGCTCACCTATGCCATAGGTGGTCCTGCCCAAGAAATGACGTCTCCGCAGTAGGTGCACCTTGTCGCGGAGCTGCTCCAGGAAACAGCTGAGGAATTGAAAGCGGCCGAGAAAAAGCGTCCTCGAGGCCACTTCCAGTTGCGCGCAATTCTGCGCTTTCGGGTTTCGGGTCCTCCGCGGCGAGTACCGCCGGGCGCCCCCGGGCAGGTTCCCGCCGCCTACAGACCAAGGCAGCTCCGGCTTTTCCACCTCCTCCTGCCGCTCCTCCCCCACCTCCGGCTCCCCGGCCCCGGTCGCCCGGCGCCGCCGCCTAGACTGCACGGAGCGCGGAGCGTGCACAGGCTCTGAAGCCGCTTCTCTGAGCTTATTCCTCGTTTGCCCGACCATTTTTTCATAGCCCCTGTTCGAATGAAGCTGGCTCTCTCTCCGGCGCGGGCCCAGCAGAGTCGGGCGACGTCCGCCGGGGCTCGGCTCGGCTCGCGGTCTCAACGACTCGTCCCCGCCGCCGTTGCGGGCCGCGGGGTCGTCAAGGCGACCGCGAAACCCGGACGGCGTGCCGTGAAATCCAAGCGGCCCCGCGCCGCCTACGCGCATCCTCCTCGCGCACCACCCACGCGCGCAGCCCCCGCCGCGCAGCGCCGAAGCACCACACTCTGCGAATCCCCCACGCGCATCCTCCCACACGCGCAGCCCCTGCGCACCGCCCATGCGCACTTTCCCACATGCGCCGCGCGGAGCGTCACTTCAAAGTCCCAGGCCTGCTTGCGGCAAAGTTAGGGGAGCGCTCTGCGATTTAATTCCTTTCTTCGAGTTCAAGCTTACTTTTACCAAAAGGTTGCATGTGTCGAGGTTAATAAAGGAGAAGGAGATCTTAGTTGAAAGAAATAACCATAGAAAAAGCGAGGGAAGGAAGTGAGCGCCTGTGGTGCGCCTGGCACTTTAGGAACATCTCTTTTCACCTCCTACGGACACGTTGCATTCGGTGTTCAGTGTCCTACGCTGAGGGAATGGCCCGAGGCCACAGGCAATGTGTGGCAGAGCCGGCGTGAGCCCGGTGAGTCTAACCCCAGAGCCTCAGGTTGGCGTGCCTTCTGTGATTCGGCGGTTTCCCGTTGGAGGACAGCACTAGCTAATCCATTCCTGAAGTAAAACTGTATCCCAACAAGGTTGCTCAGAATTCCTCAGCCCTAGAAGCGTTGTGCCCAGCGTTCTCACCTTCCTAAGCCAGACACCACCCAGGACCATCTGAGAAGGGAACTCTTAGCCTCGCGGTCATTATCACTATACTCGTGATGCCAGAGTGGCTGGTAAAGATGGACAGGAGCCACTGACATTTTCCGTGGCCTCTGTTACAAGCCGTGCCACTGGAGCCCACACCAGTCCACCTCCCGTCTGTTTTATGACGGATCGGATTGAATTTCCTAGTTCTCTTCTCTTCCGTCTAATCTACGGCTCATGGTGGCCAGGTTTATTTTCCTGAAGCAACACCGCGCAGAAATGTTCATGGCTCCCATTGGCCCACAAATAAAATGTAAACTCCTTGGCTTGCTCATCAGTGCTTTCAATAATCTGCCCCAATCTACCTTTCAACTTTAATTGCCATTTCCGCGGACACAGATCTCCCATTCCAGTTATTCCGAGTGAGGTCCGCAGGGTGAGACTTCGTAACTATCCCTTTCCTCATACGGAAAAGCCACCCTGTAGCTGTTTCATCCTTTTCTCCCTGCCCATCTGCATTCTATCGCTTTCCAGGCCCCAGCCCAGTTTTCCAGCCCACATTAATTCCTCCTCATCTGAAGGTCTAAAGCATTTACTGACAGAACGTACTATTCATCTTGTCACATTGAAAGTCAATAAGAACTGTTATTAATTTGTCCTTTTGTGAGGTTTTGTTTCCAAGGAGCATTTCTACTTTTCTGGCACTGTATTTGGTATTTAAAATGTTTTCTCATTTAATTCATACAATAACTTTGTGCAAATTAAGAAACCGAGGATCAAGGATGTAGTAATTTGCCCACGTTTCAATAGCTAATGAATTCTGTCCAATACTGAGCTTAAAATACACGGTATTTATGGGTGGTTGATAAAAATATATTATTGAATAAATATGCAAACTCAAAATAAAATACCTTATTTTTTCATATGAGTATTTTAATATTGTTTTAGAATAATAAGTGAGGTGCTATGATTATGTTTTCCTTTTTTATTAGAATTATATTAGATTCATAAAATGAATTGAGTGGATTTGCACCTTTTTGTCTATATTAGAACATTTGGTTCTGGAGCATTTTTGTTACTTTAATCTTTCAGTTTTCTTTATTATTATTGGTCTGTTTACATGGTCTACTTCTGAGGTCAATTTGGGAAATTTACATTTTCCCATAGACATTTCAAGGCAGCTGAATTATACATCCTACTCTACCTGAAATTAATATGGCCATTTGTGCTTTTTTAAAAATTAATGTTTGGCCAATAAATCTGTTTATCCTTCAACTCTCTGTGATTTTAGTAGATGTGTTTATTTTAAGCTGTATCTTGTTGAATATTTTAAAAAATAATCTGAGGGAACTTGTTAAAAGTTAGAATATTCATTTAAGTGATTTTATAGGTTTTATGTCTTTGTTTTTCATGAGGAGTGGGTATTTTTGTGGGAAGTAGGAGTGGATGCTACTGGAATGTTGGCCAGATGTCATTTTCAGTGACATTTTCTTGTACATCTCTGAACTGAACTTGCTGATTTTGGTTTCCCTCCCTTCAGTCTATTTTGCTCATTTCTGATGTTTCCCTTTTTGGTCAATTTCTTTGTTTGTTTGTTTGTTTCCTGGAGTTTGCAATTGCCTTTTGGATCATTCAGCGTCCTAACAAAATAAAACATATTCTTACCCTTGGTCTAGCCCTTGAAAGTACAAATCTGGTCATTTTTACCATTTAGAAAATATTTTTTATAGGAATGTTCATTGTACTATTATTTATATCAGTGAAAATTAGAAATAACCTCAACACCAAACAATAAATTATAGAACGCTGATACAGTGAAGCATTACTAAATTGACTAAAGACATTTTGAATGAATTTTTAATGATATAGGAAAATACTCATGATATAGTGTTAAAGGTAAAAGAAGCAGGATATATATGATTCAGATATATAGTAAACACACAGAATTAACTATGTACCAGGCTACATTCTAAATCTTTTACATAGAGGACTCCTATACAGATGATTACCAGTGTGTAACTTTGAACTAGTAAACCACTCTAATCTTTATTTCCTCATCTGAAAAATGCTAAAGCACTAAAACATAATATGTGCCTAATAAAAAAAAAATGTTCCTATATCTTGCTCTAGATTGACCATGTTCAGAGTATACTGGTGAGTATTACTTCCAATTAATATTTTCTCACCTAGATTCTTTGTCATTAAGTTATATGTTAGTTCTATTATTAAACAGTAATATGAGTTCTAAGTTCATTAGTTAACTCAGAAAACTGAGAGACAGTTGCCTAAATAATTATGCATTCTCTTACTAAGGAGAAGAATAGATTTGTGTACATGAGGGAAAACGTGGCACTTAGTTTTATTCAGTAGAATAGAATCGTGGCATTTTATAACTTCTCTAACAGTAGTCACTTATTTTCACCTAGTTATTTTGAACAGTTATTTGAGTTATATTTTAGCTATATGCTATAATGACAATAACTTAAACCAGTATGACTGATACTTATTCTATGATGAACTGACAATTAAAATAGCACTTTATAATTTTATATGATGCAATATATTCTCGCATTATTTTATCCTCTTTGAAATGAAGATGCCTCATGATTTAGCAAACTATTTCTGTTGCATAGAGATTTCTAATCCAGTCAACTCTATCTAAAACTCATCTCTGTTTTCTCTGTCTTAAAGCGATGGGTAATTTTTACAAAAAAATGCAGTGAAACTATATAACCAGCAGATGGCAATAATGACTTATAAATCAGAATTTTAAAAATTTAGGTGGTTTTTAAATTCATTTTTAAAAAGAAAAAAATTAATGTAATAAATCAGTTTACTAAATATGAAATATAGGGAAATTCCAAATGTAACCTTGCATAAAAATAATTACATTGCATATTTCATATATCCAAATAATTAAGATATTCATTGTGGCCGATATTTGGTTTTCCAAATAATAATGACTTTCCTTTACTTGATTCTTTTTATCAAATTTAAATGTTTTAACTTTGCATGAATACATAGATATAAATGATAGATCAGTAACATCTATATCTAGCTTGGTTATATGGATGAGAAAAGATAGAGGTAGTTCAGGGAACATCATTTTGAAAATGTCAAGTTTTCCATTTACAATTTGATAATTTAAAATAGTAATTTCACTTTGATACTCTTCTGCATAAAAGATGGGTTTTTATTTGTGCTGTTTCACAGTTTCTTATATATTAAAATACTTTTTTCCCTTTTATGGTGCAAGGAGCTGGAATTGGCATCAAAGTGTTTATCTCCAATCTATCATCATTAGTTGGTCCCAAAGATGGTAGCAGAATTCTTAGGTTCTCCCACTTATGTTAACTAAAATTGAACCGCATATCCAAGATTCTTTTAGAACAATTTGATTTAGTAATTTTACTCATTTCAATTAAGAAATTTTAAAAAGGTGAACCAAATGGGATTCATTTTTTATACTTTTGTAAGACTTCCTATAAATTCACAAAGATGAAAAAATCTTTTTTTTTGTTTAATCATGTATCTCTATTTTTGTCTCCAAAAAAATAGGATAACCGCGGGTACATGGTTCTTGGCAGCTATTTATTTTCTAATTGGTCTGTTTTTATATGTTAAAAGATCCTTTCAAATTCTTCTTCAGCAAGCTGCCTCCACTAAAAGAAATGTCTTTGCACATGTGTATTTTATAAAACAACTGCTTCAGTCTAAAACCATTACATTTCCTGGATTGATTCACTTTACAATAGTACATCTGCTGCTGTTGAATTACTTTATAGAGCCTGCTTCAATTCTAGTTGGATGCAGGTGCTTCTTCATAGGAGAAAATGAAAAGTCACCAAATTGCAGTGAAGCATTTTGAATGTAAATGCATCCGTATGTGATGCTTTGCATAACACTGCGTTTTGTCCACAGAAGAAAAGGTATCTGTGATAAGTTGGAATTTCTAAGCATTCTGGTTTACTCTCTGCGTCCATGAGGGGCCTATTCTCCTTTTAAAACTGGAGCTCTCTCAGCCACCCATCCTCTGGTCAGTTTAGTTCCCCAGGCCTATAGCAGATGAAATGAGACCCCCTTGACCTTGAACAGCCTTATGTAGGCATGTTTCATTCAAAGGAAGGGAGGTAATCCATGAATTAATTGGGATAATTCCTTCACCTACCACATGGGGAGACTGCCGATTGCGTAGTATATGCACACTGATTTGAGCAGAAGGGTACTCAGTAATCATTGTTAAATGACTTAACCAATATATACACAACCACGTACATATATACATATACCATACCCCCAAAATCAATT